TTTTGTAATTTTTTTTTTTTTTTTTTGCTAAATATCTTCTTTATTTAGATGGACTATATTTCTATATGCTAATTGCTATATATTCTATTTACTATATGCTCCATCTTTGGTTTTTTGTATTATTTTATAATTTTTCACTTAAATTTTTTGTTTGTTGTGAGGCTTAAGCCTCAAACCGCCTCGAGGCTTACGCCTCGCCTCATAAAGAAAAAAACGCCTCAATTCTTAGTTCCGCCTTTTTAAACCTTGGATACATACCATCACCTTCCATAGATTCAAAAACATGTGCTATGGTGGACTAAAAATCTAACTAACCCTAATGGACAAAAACGAATGACAATTATAACCAAAATCACATCAACATATCAAGATGTCAAAGACCAATACATGTAAGATCATACTTGGGAAAAATGAAAGCAAAAGGGCAAATATTGAGGCACCGTAAAGACTAAACTTCCTAAATTCCAAAAGGCCACCCTTTCCCAAAACAGGTGAAAAAGGAACTCTGATAACGTAACACATTATGTTAGCTAAGCCAAATGACCTACTTCTTAGAAGTCTTCTTCTTTGGACCAGATTTAGCAGCCAGCGGCTTGGGATGCTTCTCAGCCTCGCTTGGGTCCAACCAGTTTAGAGGGTGGCGATTAAAGAAGGGCCAATTGGGAATTATAATTAGAGAGGTCAAGACAACACCAGCTGCATATATAAGCAGCATTGTCTGAAATGATCCCAACACGTACCCCATGATGAATGCCACCACAGCAAAAGATACCAGCATCAACTGCATCAGATGCTCTGCTAACTTTTGTCCTTGCCAATCCATCTACCATACGATCATGCAAAAGTTAGTTAACAATTTAAAAATTATTCAGTATGCAGACATACACTACCCGTAAACATATAATTTCTACATATGACAGATCTTTACATTCTAAGCCTTCCAAGGAGGCAACAACAGTCTAGTTTGTGTATAAAGGCTTCGAACCCCTCACGGAAACATGAAATATTGCTAGAAAGTAGCCATACAGAAAGGGATTCAGTTTTTCTAAGCAATTATTTGGTAAATTTCTACCATGAACACACTACGAATATTATGCAGGGCTTCAGAGACTCGATATAAGAAATGAATTTCATGGAACTTAAAAATAATAGAAATCTTACATCTGTATATACACATATGCAATTAGGGTTCTCACCGGAGAACAATTAATTAATAAACACATAAATCTTACATCTGTATATATACATATGCAATTAGGGTTCTCACCGGAGAAGTAACGGCGGTAGAAAGGATTGTCCGGTGAAGCAATGGCACAAGGAGACGGAGATTATGCTAACCGTTGATACGAGTGTAGAAAAAGAATCAATTCGAGCAGGTAACCGCGTGATTTAACTCGGTTGTAATTATATTTTGACAGCACCAAACAACCTAATAAGAAGAATTTTTCAAAATGGCCTTCCTGCGGATAGTAAAATAGTAAAATGGTTTCTATCTAACGCTATATAGTAAAATAGCAATTGGTTTTATTTATTTTTGTTAAAAAGTTCTAATCTCCATACGAGCTTTCATAGATATACCGTATACCGATAGTAGGTATCCTACCATTAAGTCATTAACAAATAGATAAGACGTGTTCTCTAAGATTTTCGGCATTTTGAGTTTTGAAGTAAACTTGCACATTCACCTTTTTTTTTGTTGAATTTAATTAAAATTGATCCGATTTGGATTGAAACTAAAGTGTGAGAAAATGGACGATGCAATGGAAGGGGAAGGATCTTGCATTAAAGAAACTAGCACTAGAAGAGATGACTTAAGGGTAGATCTCTCAAAGTTGCTCCCAATGACGGGTTGGAGTAGTATTGGAATGATCACACTGGGAAATGGCAATAGCATCTTGCAAGAGTTATGCATTATGTGCTAGTACGTGTTGTTGAGAATCGGGGCAGGGTTGGAAATCGTACACGGTGCAAGCGAAATAACAAGCTGGTTTAAATAATTTTCTTCATGAACATCGTCATTTTCTTGATATTTTTTCTTTATCAAATTCTTATTAGTTATCGCAAGAGAAAAAATTCTATAGAGTAACGCTATATGGCATTACTCGTGTTAAATATTGACTTGTTAATAAAAAAAATTGATAAATAGTAATGTATATGTTTCCTAAAATGTTGTATTCTAATATAAAAACCAAAACATTTTAACGTTACTTCACAACATAATAACACACATGTTACCTTAACGGGTAATTTGTAAAAAAATTGGTTTTTAATTAAAAAATAATAATTAGAATATCAATTTTAAATGAAAATGATGTATATTCTTAAAAAAATTATGTGGAAGTAAATATAAAATATTGATTTTTAATGAAAAAAAGAATATTTTTTAAAAATTGTAAAAGTAGGTACTTTTTTTAAAACAAAAGTAGGGTATTTTTAAAGTAATTTCAAGTAACAATTCATGGCCCAACCCATCTCGAACAAAGCGAGGCTGCCACAACTCAACATTTTGGTGCAAAATAATGAAAATACGACTCACTCGACAATATTTTTATGTACATTTAAACCAAAATTTGACCCATATGTCACATTCATTATTATTTTAGCGAGAAAAGGAAAACAAAAAGTATTCTAGTAATTGGGTTGCATTTATTTTTTATGCTGTTACCTACGTTGCTTATTATTATTTTGAAAAATTCATTTTATATTGCGTACTTTACCTCTAATAGTAAGTCAAACATACAAATTTTGGACGTAGTTTGATCGTTTTATCTTGTTCATCTGCTTGTAAAGTTTAAAGTTAAGATCATTAAAACAAAGTAACAAACAATTCAATTTGATTCATTTAAATTTCTGAGTAGCACGATCAACTTTACTTATCTTGATAACGCTAAAAAATAGAATATTTCAATTTAATTTATTGTGACTAGATGGGTCATAGAGAAAGTTAAATATTGAATGTAAATTTCCCTGAACATTTTTTTTCCTTCAAATTAAGAATGAACTTATTGACCTAGAGAATAAATCGAATATCGACACGCTATTTTTCCAAATGTCTAAAGCTCCACAAATTGGGAGCAAAATGTCCTACCCCATCGCACTCAATTCCACCACGAAGGACAGAGAACATAGCTCTCTCGAATTAGAATATTTTAATCTCTGCTTCTCTATTTATAGTTCAATTATGACCCATCCCATGACATTTCATCAGTCTTGTTTCTTTTCGTCTCGTCCTGTCCTGTTCCGTTTCGTGCCGGAAGCTATATAAATCCAAAATCTGAAATTGTTATTCATTTCCTTCGAATCCAGTCTTCCCTTTGTTCATTCTTCACTCCTACCAAAATCCCACTTCAGATCAGCACACAGTACACACACAAAGAACGTGTAAATATACCTTGAAAATTTTCAAGATAACTAGAAAAAATTGGGTTCAAGAACAATATGAAGGATGTTATCAACAATAGTCTTGCTTGTCAAGTTGTGATCTTTCTTTTCTTGTGTGTTTCTTTAATATTTACAGGAACTGTTGATTACAAATCAAGATTTCTTTCGTTCTTACCCCAGTTGAGTAATTCTACGTTCTGCTGCACTGGATCACCGCTCCGGGGGTATATGTACGATTTGTTGCAGTGGTTCAATGTGGGGATGATCGATGGTTCAATGTAGGATGAGACTCCGATGATCAATTAATAGTCATGGTACCAACCCAACTGTCCACAAAATTGCAAGAGCTATCCCGAAAATACATCACTTGACTCAATCAACATTTTCATCATCGTCATAAACCTCAAGATTCTTGTCTTGGTAAGCTAAAACTTTCTATATGCTCAAGAGTAAAGTGCTTATCATCTTTCTAGGTTGGGGGTCTCACAACCATATTTTTGGGAAATATTGTTTTGTGGATACTTAGAAGTTGTATGGCATTTAGTGTAATAATGGTGAGACAATTGGAGAGAACCTAGATGCGAAATGGAGGAGGAAGACATATGAGCTTTGTTAGAAAAAACAAATATGAACGAATACCGATTTAACAAATACCGGATTTACAACACATACCGGATATGCAACATATTGGATATGCAACCAACATACCGTGTATGCAACTTACCGGATATATAACTCAACATACCGTATATGCAACTAACATATTGTATATGCAATTTACCGTTTAGACAATAACTTAAGAAATAATAACTAAGATATATAATTTTCTGATTACAACAAACAATATAAGTTATATAAAACACGATAAAATCGAACAAATAATCTAAATAGTAGAGAATAAAAATTCAATTAAAATTTAAAATACGATAAAATAGAACAAATAATCTAAATAGTAGAGAATAAAAATTCAATTAAAATTTAAAACGAGGCTTATGTGAGTACGGTTTCTTTAAAACAGATTCGCCCCCTCATCGTAGGTGCTTGAATTTTAATTTGAGCGTTTGTTTCCCAGGATACAACGGTAAATCGGTATAGTTCGAGCACTGCAAATTCTACTTCGTGAACTAACTTAGTATCTAAACAATATCACCACCAAGACCTTGACATACAGTGAATTATGTATGTAGACAAAAGACAATTTCGTGTGTTTTGGAACTATAATGCAGACTGTTTTTACATATTTGGAACAGTGGAAAACTGAGGCTTTATATAGACTTAACCCAAATAATTACGAGTTAAATCTGACCATTAACACAATGGCAACAACCATTGGAGTTTTAGAAACCAAAAATCAGTTGTTGAAAGCAAAAAAAAAAAAAAATTGGCAAAACGTAGGCCATCCTAAGGAGCCAATTTTTGGTTAATTCGATCCGATATTCGTGTACGCAGGTCGCGCACCACACAAGTTCAAGGTCCAAAACCGCTCATGTGGAGAGAGCCTATATGCTACACATAATTACACACCTCCAAAGTGTAGTCATATGTAAAGTAGTTCTTGCTTTCATAAACTTTTATGTGGGATAAACTCAAATTTAGTTTTCCCTCCAATATAAACCATATTCCAATGGTCCACCATGAACTCCAATTTCTCATTCACCCGAGCTTTATTTTTGGTAAGTAAATACATGATTTCAATGTTCTCGTAGAGGATAACACAAATCAATGTTGACCTTCCAAAATAAACAAACGGGTCCCACTCAAAATTTATGCAAAAGTCAATTATTTCCTCATTTTTCCAACAATCCCCCATGTGAATGAAAATTGGAAGACATACAAAATGTGAAACAAAGACTTGGTGATAAAGTTCAATGGTTGAAACCTGCATATGATAGATAGGTATTACCCTTTGAATCTTCCCTTGTAGAAGCATATTAACTTTACTAGCTGACCAATAGATGCGCTGTCTTTGAATTGTTCTGTCGTTTATGTAAGTGATGATATGTTTCACATATGATTCTTCATAACACAATTCAGCTCTTATTATCATGTTCATTTTTTGCCATGAAAATGTGTCGGTTCTGTGAGAGTTCTTAAGAATTGAAACCCACACAATTCTCTTAGAAGTTATCCCACTTCTCTTTCCCATAGGTGATTTTTTATTACAAGTAACCCGCATTACTTGGCTCGATTTTCGACGCATAAGAATCATTAAAAGCATTTGCTTATCCTTCATCCTCACAGACATCACTGTTACATCATAGGAATGGACAAGAGGCAACATTCCCTCCATAGTGATTTAATTAAGTTTTTACAATTAAGTTGTCCCTTTAAACCTAGATCTTGGGATCTCCAGTCAACAAGGTTGGATTTCTTTTATATTAACTTATCCGTTCAAGTGCTTAAGTCTCATTCCTTTTGATGATTTCCCAACTAACTCTCTATTTAACCATTTGGTTAGCGGATCGCAATGTTATCATTTGACCTTAATAGTCAATAGTGATAACTCCAGTTGAGATTAGTTATCTTATGGTATCTACGACGCATATGTCTACACTTACCATTGTACATGTTACTATGTGCCATTCCAATTGCTGATTGACCGTCACAATATATGCAAATTGATAGCACAGGTTTCGGCCATCTTGGAATATCCTCTAAGAAGTTGCGTAACCACTCAGCCTTTTCACCACATTTATCTAAAGTTATAAACTCAAATTCCATGATAGATCTAGCTATAACAGTTTGTTAGAGGATTTCTAGGATATAGTTGCACCTCCCAGTGTGAACACAAATCCACTAGTAGATTTGGAGTCTTTTATATCAGATATCTAATTTGGATCATTATATCCTTCAATGACTGTTGGATATCTGGTATAGTGCAGTCCGAAATTACGAATATATCTTAAGTACCTTAATATTCTTAGTATTCTTTTCTAATGGTCAACACCTGGATTACTCGTGTATCTACTTTGTTTACTAACTGTGTATGCTATGTCCGATCTTGTACAACTCATCAAGTACATCAGACTTCCAATTATTCTAGAGTACTTTACTTGAGAGACACTCTCACCTTTATTTTTAGATAGATGCTGACTCGTATCTATCGATGTTCTAGCCATTCCAGTATCATCCTTGTTGAACTTTTCCAGAATTTTGTCCACATAATGTGGCTAGCTTAGAACGAGTCCTTCTAATGTTCTGCTAATTTTAATTCCAAGTATGACATCAACTAAACCCATTCTTTCATGTCAAACCTTGAATTTAACATATTTT